GGGCCTAGCAGGCCAGGGCTCGGGCTCCGGTCCTCGTCGCTGTCGTAGCGTCCGCCGCAACGAGGATGATAGCCACGGCGGGCTCCTTCCCTTGGGTCACTGTAGGTACGTCTACGGGCGTCGAGGGTGCTGCGTGCATCACGGTTATGGCTGAGACGCTGATGTATCTGGGCCACAGTGCGCTGCCTGGCGCCTTGTGGTGCTTGGTGGACTGATGCGTCCCTGGCGGGATGCACCGAGGGCGTGCGCTGGCTGGTGTCGAGCTCGCGTTGTTGAGACAATGAGCTCTCCGCCTGCTGCGCCACCGCACGCTCAAGCAACATGCGAATTTCGTGGTGGGCCCGACGATCCTCGGGCGTTGCGGCCTCTGGAAGGCCATGGAGTAAGGCCATTGCGGCGGTGATGTTTTGGCTTGCCCAAGCAAAGTGAGGAAGGGTTTCATCGTCGGTGAAGATCCTTTGGTTCACGTCACGGGCCACGGCGTGTGCACGCCCACCATTTCCACGGCGTTCGATCTCCTGATCGACCTCCGTGTATTCCCGAACAAGCTGTTGTCCAACTTCGTCTATCTCCCGCTTTCGGGCTCTCAGCTGCTCCACCCCTACATGAGGTTGCCTGTCGAGGTAGTCTCCTCCGCGGAGATGCTTTCGACGTGTCCCTCGGGGGTTTCCTCCATGAAACATTCCCGGGAGGGGTGATGGCTCCCCCTGCTAGAGTCAGAGCCAGAGTCCAACCCTGGCTCCTCCACGAGGAGGCCGTGGAGGGATTCCGTGACGCTTTCGATCATCCCTACGAACTCGTTGTTCGTGGGGGATGGGATCGTGCGTTGTGCCACAAGGTGGCTAACGATCGCCGCGGTGTTGCGGAGACCGAACGAAAGCGCCGTTAGGGCGCTCCATGCGGAGTGTTCCAGAGAGAGGGTGAGGCGGCGCGGGTCCTCCCTAGATGGCCGGGGTCCAAGGGAGACATCGGGCTGGCGCTCAGGCCTCCTGTAGTTGAACCCGATGGAGGAGAGAGATTGGATGACGGTGGGCTAACGCCAACTCTCCTCCCATCATGACGATAAAGTCTAGGTCACTAAAACGCACATGTGCACCCGAGACCCAGCTGATCGCGTGGTTAGCCATCCGAGGCCTGATTTGGAATGCGTAAAGGCCCCTACCTGACGTGCCAACTGTCGGTGTTTCGAACAAACATCAGCTAGTAAATTTATAATTGTTGCGCGTTAGGCTCGGATGGTGTACTAAAGGATACAAGGTTTATATTGGTTCGGGCAGAATATCCCTACGTCCAGTTTGCTGCTGCTCGTGTTATTAGTACCGAAAAAGATTCGTAGTAGGGGGTACAAACGGTCGAGAGAGGGACAGGTCCCAAGTCTCTGTTGGAAAGGTTGAAAGGACGCTAAGAGCTCGGTTGCTGCTTGGCTGTGTCTTGTGTGTCCTGCCCTCCCTTTTACAGACCAAGGGGGGAGCAGGGGTTACAGATGGGAGAAAGAGGAAAAAAACCAAAGGTAGAGAAGGTCCTTCGAGGGAGCCGGGTCTTCCTTTTCCCCTGTGCCTGCCCTGCTAACATGGCAGACCGTGTCAGGAATGGCGTATTCGTTGATCCTTATAGGGCTGTGCCCTGGCCTCTTTCAGCAAGTAGGTGCGTCCCATCCTACACCGACGGACGGTGCGGCGTGCCAGAGAGCCAAGTTGTGACCCTTCAGGGAGTAGACGGGGAAGTGACCATACGTCCAACACTATAGATGATGTGAGTTCTATCTTGGATCGTAGTGGTTGTCATATGCTCGTGTTAGTATCCACGTCCGAGGGCTGATGGCAGCGCCTACAACACTGTGGGACAAAAGTCGGCGCCTACAACACTGTTCGGGCTCTGTCAGGTCGGAAAGGGCCTAAAGCGCCCGTCTCGTCGTATCCTGACACCTGTAGGCATGCAGGACATGGCCCTCAGTACTGCGGTTGACTCGAATGTCTTGTCGTACCCTGTGCTCGTATTTATGAAGGAACAGGGTGTAATCATCGGGCAAGGCGGAGCCTACCCTCGGCCGTCGGACGAGGCAGAGCCAGCCCTCAGCCGTCGGACGAGGCGGAGCCAGCCCTCAGTCGTCGGACGAGGCGGAGCCTGCCCTCAGCCGTCGGGCGAGGCAGAGCCAGCCCTCAGCCATCGGGCGAGGCGGAACCAATCTTCCGTCATTCGAGCAAGAAATGTAGTAGCGTTCTTATCTGACCGGAAGCGTCAATGTTCGATGGTTATTAATTCCACCTCATTGGGTACCCCGGTATTAGGTCCCCGATAATATTATTTTCTAATCACATATCACATTCGAATGTCGCCGCTTTTCACACTTTATAATGTGCCACAGTGCCCAGTTAAGAATGGTCTTGGGAAGAAAGACCCCATTCAAGGTTGATGAAATGCCACTGAATGGTCAGGGGGAGAGACCCCATTCAAGGTTGATGAAATGCCACGGGAGACCCTAGAGCAGCCGGAGGCGAACAACGAATGCGGGTTCTACGTAATGTGCACAATGCTCATATCCCTCGGCGGGAAATCGTCGCATGCAGATGAATTGGTGTGTATGCTTCCCATTTCATTTATATCGGTTAATTCAACAAAATGATCTACTGGTTTGTCTTACAGTTGTGCCTTTCGATATCATCTTTCTTGAACGACAGCACAAGAAATATTCGTTTCTCAACCTTTGATAGTGTTTGATTGTTAAAAGTCATAGTTGCAATAGTTGAGCTTATCTTGTTAGAGTAGATATGAAGGCAATTTTAAAATTATCACCATCACGGTTCTAAGTTGATCACCAATTTATTTACTGCAACTTAAACATAATCAAACATAGGTATTATTGAGCTGATCAAAGCTCGGTAGTTATGAAGTCCCTCTCAACATTAGATGCATTACTATAATAGATGGACTAGTTTTGACAAGAATCCCTACAGGCCGGGAAATGACTATTATTGTAGTTATTGTTTTGGGATTATACACATCCGATTTACAAAATTAACCACACAGAATTTATTTTGCTTGTCGATAGTGATGACTCTCAGAAGATAATGTCCATATTCAAGCTAACTTGCTACCGTCAAGGCCGAGTCACAACATATCATCACACAGCACGAGCTCTACTTCTATACCATAAAAATCACTATTTTACATAAAAGATTATTTTTATTAAAACCAAAGCAAATTTATCGAATTGACATATCAACTATATAGTTGATACTACTGTCCTGAGGTCACTCCCTGTCTCTGTAAGTGCTTATAACCTAAAATGTTTTAAACCATTAATAGGCGTTGTATGGTCCAAATATTCTTATAACATAGATCACCACAAAAACATACTATCTAATAACTGAAACGTTTGAGTTATACTTAACATCAGGATAAGTTTACCTAAATCTGATGCACAATGGCCCCAATTCACAGAATAGACCAAAAGCACTCTGCGCATACAAAGTGGACATGACAACTAGTTGTATATAACATGTGTCGTTCTAAATATATATCAAGTCATAGCTCCACAATATTTTTGTTTAACTCAGCTCCATGCTTCCACTATATTTTTTTTATTAAACTTTAAAAGTGACCCTATATTTGCGCAAGCAGGGTATAAACTTTGCTGTCATGGAGGCTTATATGTAGGGGAACATATCTAGTGCAAACCAACCTCTCCGTGCAAACCGTGCAAACCAACTGCGGGGGAGAGGTGGGAGGGGGGATTTGCAAAAGTGTAATTATGCCCGCTCCTAATTACACTTTTGCAAATCCCCCCTTCCACCTCTCCCCCGCAGTTGGTTTGCACGGTTTGCACGGAGAGGTTGGTTTGCACTTGATACATTGCCTGTATGTAGTCCCTAGATAGTAGCATGACATATCTTAACAATTTATTTGCTGCTTTTACTTTTCTAAATATACTCCTCCGTCCTAAAGTTAAGTGGATTTTCAGTTGCCCTAAGTCAAGACAGAATAAATTGGACCAAGTTTATAAAAAAGAACAAAAAATGAGCTTTATTAAAGCCATTATGAAAAGTATTTTCATAATTTACTTTCTTGATGTGATAGAAGTTATTAATCTTCTCTATAAACTTGGTTAATTCAAAATGATTTGATTTAGGACAACTGAAAATCCGTTATATTTCAGGACCGGTGGAGTATTTATGATTTTACATTTGACATATTTATATAGTATGCTACAATAGCATTAAAAGGAAAGGGATACTCCCTCCTAACTCAAAAATAAAGTCGTTTTGGACAAGACTTGGGTTAAACATTAGGAATATAAATCATGAATACCTTTTAAGTTGTTGAGTTTGGAAATATGAAAGCCATATAAATAGATTTGTCTTGAAAAATACTTTCTTAAAAATATACATATATCACTTTTTGATAAATATTTTTATAAAAATAAGAAATCAAAGTAATACTTTGGAGACAGTGTCACTGTCCAAAACGACTTTATGTTTTAGTATGGGGGAGTATATAATAACAAAATGCATTTAAATGGAAAAACTTCACGCTCTGCATAGCTTCCGTAGCAGTTCCGTGACAGTAACTATATATATACTAAGCTGTTATACGGAGGTCACCCTAATTGATGGCAAAATCCATTGTTTGTCTTCCACTTGGCTATACAAAATGGCTCCCGCTCCCACCACACAAACTTCAAAGCTCATCCATTTGCTGAAGACTCACTGACTCCGTCGTTCACTTTTTGAATAAGGTATCTGAAAGGCCGGCTAATGAATCCATCAGAAAAGTACATACAAAAGTGCAACATGTAATTGAGTCCGAAATTAGAAAGTAATGATACTTTGAGGAACTTTGTCTTATTTCTTATTACGATTAGTTGCAAAGAGATAATATAAAAAAGAAGAAAATAAGATGGTGTCATCGTCATGAGTCATGACCAACCAACCCAGCATATATACAACTACACCCCTGCAGCTCTTCGGCCAAGGAAATAAGCAAAGCACAACGACAGAGAGATGGGGCAGTGTTCGTCCTCCAGCTCCCAGCATCAAGAAGCAGAGCAGAAGCAGCAGCCGGCTGCCGGTGTTGACAGCCAGAAAAGGTTTCTTGAAACTCTCTTGTTTTACTAACATATACATATTGTCCGAGTGAGTCAACCGTAGCTAAGGGTTTTTTTCTTCTTCAAATGTGAAGGCAGGAGCAGCTGAGAAAGGCGGCTGCAGCGGCGCACATGAATCAGCCATACCATGCATCTAGCAATGAGGAGCTGGTCCTCCTGGTGTCGCTGGATTCAATCACCAAGATTGGGTGAATTTGTCGATCTGCAGATATGGCGAGGTCATCTCTATCGGTACATGTTACTAACCTTGTCGATGCCAGATAGATTTCAAGATATTTTGTGGAGCTCATGAACACCATGAATGAAATCTCGAGACTAGTTTGGTGCTCATCACTTTAATTTGTTTGTAAGTAAGCTCTGGGTGATGGAACCTCTGCTTCGTGCATAAATCGGAACTAATTTGGTATTAGAGCCAAAGGACCAAAGTTAACAATTAGTAATCCAGATACCATAATATTTATAAAAGAATGAAACAATTTCTGCTCATTCTAGTCTACTTCATTCACCTACCATGTCTATCTAGGAGTAATATAAATTCAAGTGTCCTAATCCTTTTCAACTACATAATGAGTATTGAACTTTCTTACAACGTCATCTTTGCCCCTTTTCAGGCTCCAGTGGTGTCAGCTACGGTGAACATCACCTCTTGTCTCTCCTATAAAGAAGGATGCAGTTGACAGGCCCTGTTTGTGTCATCCATATATAAAGCTCACCAATAAAGCTAAAAATCAGACTGCCACCCTTAGTCGCTTTACAAAATTTTTACTCCATGTACCAGCAAATTTATCACTTAAGCCCATGTCGTACTTCAGGAAATGTTTTTCCAAACCATGCATGCAGTGTTGAGAAATAGTCATCATGTTGGCCGCCCTTGTATGTATCAATCAGCTATTGTTGATTGTTTGGTGTGACCCTTCAATATTTTCCTTGTAGTACTTGTCATTTTGCGCATACGCATTGCGTAGGAACAGAATGCATGGTCGGATGTTCAATGACGCAACCAGTCAGCATCCACCTTAGTCCAAACGTAATTTTTTGTAGACTACCCCCCCCCCCCAAAAAAAAACTATATTTGCGGTTTAACTAGAGTAATCCTAGTAGTCCTTGAGATGTATCACCGAACACATTATAAAAGCACAAGGATCACTATAAGCAAGTTGCAAGTCATGAACCATTACATAACACATTGTCACTTAGTTACATAAGCATGGTTCAAGTTTCACATGATATGCATCGACTTTACGCAATGGAAAAGTTCAACATTGCTTCACTCATATGTTTAGCATATACACGACAACATACTAGGATTGTTGACCCGTGCTCTGCCCACGTACAAATAACCAAAGATGGGCTCTGGCTCACCTACATCAACTTAACAGGAGCACCGTGAGTACACGGATACTCTGTAGGGTATGCCCAATATTACAACATACAGAGTATGGATTTGCCATTAGAAAGGAAATGGCATAGGTAATTGAATAATTGTATAAAGCAATTAATTATTTGTTGAGTTGTCTGTAACGACCCATGCACCACAAATTGTTCTAATATCATTCCTAATAGAGTATTGGATGATAATGGCACCTTATTTAGGATGAGTACCTTTCCCTTGTGATCCTCATGGACATTCTTGTTTTCCTTCCTAACTTGGACAACTCTTTAGATAAACTAGATGTCTTAACTAGCCTTCATTTAGCATGAGTTCACCATGTTACCATTTGTTGCTTGTTTACTCCTTTCCCCTAAGTTGACTAACCTAGTGACACCCTAGTGGGGGAGTGAGTCAGCCCTCAGGCCACCTCTAGCCCATGAACCTCCTACCTGATGTGAAGCTTTCTACTCAAGTAGAGCCTTGGTGTCTCAATCACTACCTTCTTGCTCTTTCAACGGAAGGAATAAATCTTAACTCATGCCTCACCTTGAGTAATCTACTTTTTGCCTCACTAAAGACCTTGACCCGAAATACTTGAAAAGCCACACTCTCTCTAGGTAATTATGATTTGGGTCATTTAACTTGCTTCACCTTCTCCCTATGCCATTAGGGCACTCCTCTACCCCAAAGGTTACATATCTCGCAGGATTAGACCCTCATGTTGACCACCGAATCTTTCATCCCTTAGACCTAAATCCCTCTTAAACTAATCCCTTATAAGTCATGGCTCCTTCCTAAATACAATCAAGCAAGTTTCCGCATGCTACCTTGACTCTAGTCCTATGTTTTTAGATCCCTTCTTACTAAGGGCTACACTATCCTAGCTCATCTCTGAGTCAAACTAAACACTCCAAACCCTAACCCTTTGAAATCCTTACTGACACTAGCAAGCGCCCCCTTTGTTGAACTATCTGAGAGTGCCTACGTCAGCCTGAGTTGACTAGTCAGCTAGTCGGGTCATCACGGGTCTAGCAAACCATTTGATGGTCCTATTGGACAGCCCACTAGAGCACCTGTCATCTCACAAAAACCACTAGCAGAACAACACCCTCTCTACCTCCCAATCTCTAATTCCATAACTCTCTAACCCCTCTCTCCAAGCATCAATCCGAATCCCTCCATGTCATTAATCTTCTACCCAATCTTGGTGTCAAGAAGGTCTTCATCAACCTCTTAATCTCCCTAAGGATGATTCTTGGTGGCTTTCCCTCCTCCCATGGGTGTGGGGACTCCATAGGAGTGAAGTAGAGCCCAACTTCCTTCACGAGGTGCTCTATAAATGAAGCCCCACTACTAAGTATTTTCCAATTTTGAGGTTACCTAATTATGAATGTCATCTAGGTCCCCAAACCCTAGCCTAGGTCACCTTAACTCACTCATCACATAGGTTCTAGATTGAACCCCTAGGATAGAGCCTAAGCAGCTATGAACCACATTACACTATTGGATAGCTAGAAGAATTAAGTCCTGACTATTAATTGATGCACCGACAGATAGTTTGGCACACCACTTGGAACATTTGCCCACACACAACCAAATCAGCACAACAGCCCTGTCAAGTCCTTGACTCGGCGGACCCTCCATAAGTCACTAATGACCATCCATGAAACCACAGTAGACGATAAACACCTCGGCTTATCTCACACGCACCATTCATATGATCAGGTGGACCATCCATGTGAACTAGTCAAAGTTATGCCACCTTTACAACACCATTGTCCTAAGTAGGCGGATAGTCTACTAGCTCACATGGATCATCTGTCAGGGCCACACCAAGCCACCAACAGTTTGCGCTGCCTCACCCTTGACCCAATGGACCGTCCACCCGTTCATCCAAACCATCTATGAGAGCATTTAGAACCACAAAACCCTGCATAGACTCTATCTTGGCCTTGCGGTCCATTCGTACTCACCAAGTACGACATTCGTCTAACTAGATTGTAGACTCCTAAGCAATGGACTCACGAACCGTCCGCGTGTTCATCCGGACTTTATTTTAGTTTGCGTTTGTCAAAGATGCTCCTCCTAGGAAAAACAAGATGGTAGCAACAGTACAGACTACTCTCCTATGGTGTGCTGCATGAATCTTGACGCCACAATTGATGGTGGTGGTACCCTGCTTTCTTTCCGTAAGACCCACTGTACTTGGCTACTTGCTAAAAGAAACGAGACAAATGACACTTGCAACGAAGGGAGTTCTGCAGCTCAAACTCGGCTATCCACGGATTTAGCTAAAACTGTTGGATGTTAACGAGATGCTAGATTTAACCTCTGATTTCAGAGTTTTAACGAGTACGATCACTGTTACACTTGCACATCATGGTTCAACTACTCATCCGTCTGAATTTTACTATTGCTGCCAGATATTACCCCATTTGCGTACAAGAGCCAACCTCACTGCTGCTTTGGAACAATGACCGCAGCCTTCTGAAATGAAGGCATCTAGTCTAGAAGACAACTCAGTACTACATGGCTCTCTTGTTGGCGTACAATTCCACTGTCACAACCCTGGAATTCTATTTCTATTCAGCATCCATCAGATAACAATGCAGGGCAAGATTTGACATTGAGTAATCCTATGGTGTGATGCCTGATGTCGATGCTGTACAGGCCCAGCAACATTTTCCAAAGAGTGCGCTACAACTACAAATGGAAACATTAATCCGTCCAGGTTGCACAAACAGGGATTATTATGGCACCTTAACCATTCGACATTACAGAATTCCTGATACCCAACGGGTGACAAATATGATGGTAGGACACAAGATAGCTTAAGCACAACACAGGTAACTCACGTTCAATATGACAAACATGGCAGACTTTACTAGCAGAGTTCTGAACAAAACATCTAAATTACTGGAATTAAAATTGTGGCCTTGATCTACCATAGGGTCCATATGCCAAACCTCGTCCTCATAGCCCAGCTGATTTCAGCGGTACTGCAACAAAAGCATTGGCAATGCATTAGTTAAGGAGTGATAGCAAGTCGAACCAAATTGGAGAAAATTCAAAAACATTGACATGGGTAACAAAAACAATTGTCAGCATTTGAACTGTCATACATGAATGTTTTTATACAAACAAAAAAAACATATAAGCACAGTTCATTTTTTTTTAACAAAATAGAATAGCAGCAAAGTATAGGGCACGTTTCAACAAAATACCACAGCTGATTGTCAGCATTTTAAGTGTCATACATGAATGTTTTTATACAAACAAGAAAACATATAACCACAATTCATTCTTCTAAGAAAAAAAGGAATATCTGTGAAGTATAGGGCACATTTCAACAAAATACCACAGCTGCGCTTGCAAGAAAGGTAACAAAGCATCAAAGGGAACAGTCTAAATAATAGAAATATAGGGCACATTTGAACAAAATACCACAGCTGCGCTTGCAAGAAAGGTAACAAAGCATCAAAGGGAACAGTCTAAATATCTAAATAAATAGAAATATAGGGCACATTTCAACAAAATACAACAGCTGTGCTTGCAAGAAAAGTAACAAAGCATCAAAGGGAACAGTCTAAATAAATAGAAAATGCCCTAGAATGCAAAATGTCCTCAAAACAGAGATAATAGAACTATAGAGAAGTATCAGACACTTTACACCGAAGAATCTTGGAGCCTTGTCCATGTTTATTATGGAGGCTAACAGAATAGTGTATTCTTGGCATTACTGATGGTGAGCATCATTCACACAGCACTTTGAAGCTTATATCGCATACCTTGATGAAGCCAATGTCCTTGGCGTTGCTGC